AGGTCGCTGGTGGCGGTAGACCAAGGAACAACCGCTGGGGAGCGAGAGGGATCTCCGTCTCGGCTGACGATACGCTGGGAAACCATCGTGGGACAGGCCAAGACGAGAGTCTAGAAGGGTTCTTAGAAGATGAAGAAGACGACGATGACAATAACGGGTACCCTGTTAACGGGGGCGCTCATCCGAAGCAGTCAACCGGGGTAACGGGCAGTCACGAATGAACTGTCTGCCCTTAATCCCCATATATAGAAACCCTGCTGCAGATCAGCCGGTTTTGGTTACACGGCTCATTGTCCTCGGGGCATTATATACTTCCCTAGGGCTCGTTCTCCCCTTTCGCTTCCTTCATGGCCTCTTTCTTTATTACTCGGGTTCTTGTTTGCATGGAATTTCTCTCACGTCATCAAAGTTTTCAACAATCTCAAATTATTTCTTTTTTGGAAATGTAGTAATACAAAATGGGTCCAAACTGAATTAGGACACGGACATTTTGGATGCCAATTCACCCGTTGCTGACGGTTAGATCATCCATGATTCAGTGGCAGGGTTGATTACTAGATGAGATCATCCCCCAGCATCCGAGGGGGCTATAGGTGAAACACAGGTGAGAACGACCCCATCGTTTCAGGACTGCAACCAGCCATTGCTGCGCCTGCCCATAGCCACAGCTCCTTGTGTGGGCATTATTGGACCATCGAAGAGGAACCCAGGTAAAAGGGGAAAGACGAGAGGGAAGAACGAAGGGGCCAATTTGAGGGCAAAAAACGCCTAGGCGACAACCTTGCCCTCATTCGGCAAATCCGGCATTGACCGACATCCTCCTGCTCTTGATCAGATCCGCGCCCGGTCCAAAATAGATCATTACTAGTGTTAGCGCGCGAGCCTGAGGATGGGCCTTTTTGTCTTCTCTTCGTTCATGAAGGGGAAATATTGGGATTGATGACAAGGTGGCATCCACTAACCCTGAGGGGAAACTGAGAAACCCAGTGACATCACGTGGATGCGCCCCGGGGGCCCCGATCGTTCGACTCGCTGAAAGAATGGAGATCATCCACATGGCGGTGATGTGCGCAAACCGACAGTGAGAGGGGCCTCGATGACACGCCGGTCAGAAGGCCGTTCCATAGGGCCAAATCCCTCGCGGACGCCGAAAGGAAATCCAGCATGAAAATCTTGCGCGAAGTGCACTAAGCGAATTCCAGAACAAGACGGCCTCCCCGAGCAAACCGGCGATTCCTTAGGCGCCAGTGCCATGGCGGGAATCTCCGGACTGGAATAATGGTTGGCGATGGACGTTCCTATGAAGCAACTCGCAGGTCTGGAGAGGACCACCCCATCCATCCTCATCTCGTCTGGCGCGTAACTCACCTTTCCCTTCGGGGACACGTGGCTTTGGTTGAACGCAGGTAGCCGGCAGGATGAGCACTGGACCGATCATATCTTAACCTGCTGGATCCAGGGGGACAGCCTTCCCGGCACCCGCGCATGAGTGGACTGAAATGGGGAAAGACCATACATTATGGCCGTTCATTACGGGCCTGGCGGATGGCTTTGGTGGTCAGCTCGACTCCGTAGGGCGATTACACTAGTCCGATCGCAAAACCACAAGAAGCATGTCTCCCCATGTCTGTCAGACAAGCCCGCCAGCCTAGCCTAGTCCAGTCCGTTCTGATCCACCGGGATTTGCAGCCGCAGCGACGGAGAAGCGCTTAATGGCCTATCTTTCCGTGCTACCCCTGCTCATAGAGCTTCCTTGATGCTCTCCTCCGGGTTTGCTGGTGACCGTGTTTCCTCCACAGCTTTCCGAACAGGATTTAGTTGCGTCCGGCTAACAAAGCACCAGAATCCTGGCTTATGACCTACCGTTGTTGGGGCTGCGTCTAGTAGCTTGTCAATTCGTCTTCTCTTGGCCGCTCTCACCCTCCATCTCCACCTCCCGTAGCGGCTAGGAAACTGGCGATGCGTTCATCTGCCGTTCGGAGACTTTCTGGTGTATTTTTTTCCACGCTTTTTGACGGATTTGTAGTCATGAAATTATTTGTTATTATACTTTTTCCATTTTCCGATCCTTTACCCGGGATTTTCTTATCCGCTAGGCTTTCTCCGTTGGACTTGACCATTAGCAGAACTGTCAGCTCTAGCGCTAACCCACTGATTGCCATTTGATATGGACTATGGGCGGTTCGCTAGAGTGTCGGTTTTTGTCACTCTTTCCATGGCATTACCCATTCGACAGTGCCCACATCAGGGATCCAGTACATCGGAACTAAGATCGCAGCAGGTACTGCCTTGTTCTTGAGTAACATGGGTGGGCCTGGGAATGCAAAGAGTCTGAGCCCCGGGGGGTTTGGGGGCTGGATTGTCTCCCTTCTCATGTCATGTCAAGAGATGAGAAATTATTTCTCTCTCCTCCCCTGCCCCTCTAGAAAATGGAGCCATCCGCCTGGAATCAGCGGGCGCTTAAATGCAGGCGCATGGTCATACCTACAACCTCTGATTGCGATTCAATTTTTGCGGCACAGTGAAAGTGGGCGGTACCTACCATGTTCACTAGAGCTCTCTAAGCCCGATCACCAAAGGCTTCACACTTCTGGCCTGCCTTGCGAGGCATTTTGTCTTTCATTGATATCTCCTACTCGAGTATATGAACCCACACGCACGTCCATTAAACTTCTCCTCCATCCTTCCACATTTCGCTTCAAAAGCAATCTTTGCCTTTCACCTGACGATTACGACTTGTGAAGAACTATAATTCTTTTCTACCTGACTCATTCTGAAGAAGCCTTCTTAATCTCTCTGTTCGTTCATTCGTCCAGCTTAATCATCTATTATATTAGTCTCCTTGCCCACTGCTGGCGGTTTGCCCTCTTGCGTGTTTCATCCACGTTACATTCCTTCCACAACAACAGCCCCTGCATCATTTGCAACCGCACGCTGGCCTTCACAATGTATCCCCAGACACCCATCGGATACTCGGCGCCAATGATGTTCAGCCATGGTGGCTCGAACCCCGGAGATGGACTTGACGAGTACTATGTCAGTATGCAGCCTCGGTGGACCGCACTCGATACTGTACGTTGTTTTCAAATGTTATTGGATCGCCACTTGCTGATCATTCTGCCATATAGTCACCTTATACCGGTGTTAGCAATCCTTATACTACCGCAGCAGCTTTCCCGACTGGTGCCATCTTGACTCCGATCAGCCTTCCGGATAGCTCCTTCAGACCAAGCCCGGTGCTCAGTCATCACTCACAAGACTTTCACTACAACGTTCCCGAGTCTGTCCCACCGCAAGGCCTAGGCATCACCGCACCCTTCCCCAGCAGTTTTCCCCGTACTGTCACCGCAGGTCTGGGACATACCTCAGAGGAACCGGACTTTGGCTTCAGCGAAGCTATCCTGTCACCTCAACCGCCACCCGCGAAGAGGATCCGACGTGGGCCCAAGCAGGCGGTCACACCCCGAGAAGCACCGGTTACAATACTACCTAATCCTGAAGGGCTGCAGCGCATGGAACAAGAGCGACGACAAGGGGCAGCCGACGCTCAAAACAATCAAAGGCCCCGGGCTCCGGGTCGGGGGAGGCGAGACCCGCAAGCTGAGGAGGAAGACGCATTCGTTGAGAGGCTTCGGGAGCAGAATCTAGCCTGGAAAGTGATCCGGGAGATGTTCCGGAACAAGTTCCACAAGGATGCCTCGGAGGCGCGTCTACAAATGCGCATGTTGCGGCGACGGAAGGAGCGATTGGCACGGTGGGATGAGAATGATGTGAGTACGTGCGCCCAAGCAGTCGCAAATTGTCAACTAATTAACGATCAAGTCATCCAGATCCGACTGCTCATAAGAGCGCGGGAGTACTGGGAGCATGAGAAATACAATGTGATTGCACAGAAGGTGAGTCCCCAGTGCAACCTTGGCCCAATGGACACCTGCTAATTAGATTACGAATCTAGATGAAGGAGTTCGGAGCGGGACCGTACACCCCAGAGCAATGTGAAGCCCAATTGCGATACCTCGATGCACAGAACCGGGAGCGTAGCACTGGTCCGCGGACACGAATACCTGATCCTCAGCCATCGCGAAAGCGATCATGGTCAAAGGTGGCCTCCAGTGTGGCCAGTGGTAGTACGAAGTAGCATTTGTGGTTTTTTGGGAATGTACTTTTTTGACTTTTTTTTTTTTCAGGGAGGGATGTTGAAGCGCATTATGGATTCCTTTGGGGCTTTCTTTTTTTTGTTGGGGGGAAATTACACGCAAGGATGATTGTTTACGTCTGGATGAGTTTCTTTGTTTACTTGGATATACCCTGTGACCGATTGCATGCGAATGACATATTTCTGGATAATTTTTGAGCAACGTGAATCCGTGAATCTCGAATCATGGACTTCGAGAGAGCGTCTCCCGACATCGGGAGAGAAAGCGAGCACGCCAATCAAGGACGGGCCTGTCTCTGGACGCTAATGCGACGGACAAAGAGACGAAGCCAGCGTCGTACAGCCCCTAGGGGGTTTCCCAGCTGCTAAGCGATCACAATTAAACTTTCAGGCCATCTAACGGCTGAAGATCAGCTCGACTAGGGGCCCAGCTAGCCTATTTTGGTGGGAGATAGGCTGCATCTCCAGAGGTCAGTTCTTAGCCGCCAGCAGCCCCAAGCCACACGACAGCTGGAGGACGTCGGTCCCTATGAAAGAGCCGCCGGGCTGATCCTCCACACGCTTACGTACAGATACATGTTGTCTAGCAGCTGCCTAACTGGTGATGTTTTAGGAGGAGGAATGCAGTCAGTGACTCAAGCAGTCTGGACCGGGTAGAAGACTACTCGGCTAAGTTTAGCCTGGTGTTACCGGCCAATGCAATGACATGCTCTGCCATGCCATGCACATGTACATGTACATGCACCTTTCAGCCGCAGCAGCAGGGATTGTCAACTTCTTCCCACGGCGCCGGTTTTACCGCCTGCTTTGGCTCGTCGGGGATAAGACTAGCGTTCATGGCACAGCTATCTTGCGCACACCGAGGACAACATGATCGTCTGCCTAGCATCTAATTGAATCAATTACCTTCCGCCGAATCCTGCCGTCGCTTCTGCGCCAGTATGGCGGAGCACAGGATTTCCAGAATCAAGCGCCAGGAATGGGTTACTGCGCTTCTAGTGTCGCTGTCGTCTTCCAACCCCTCAGCGGGCTGGCTTGCTGAATGTTGTACACGTCTTTGCCGTTGCATTCATTCCGTTCGGACCTTCTCCGGGTTCTTGAATGATAAGCGTCTTAGACACACTAGCTATGAGAGTCGTGCAATCGTTCAACGTTACGGGGGCTAGACACCCAGCATCAGGGATTACGAGAAGAAGGGAGTAGCAGCAGGTGCCCGGGCTGTGCACACCCGAAACATAGGCTCTAATGGTCGTCCTCCCCCTCCTCTTCTATATCTATTATAGGGAACGTCAACAGGGCTGCCACCCCTCCTAGCCCATCAAGTCGCCTTCCACTCTCATGGTCGGAGCTAAGCACTCGCACCTCACCACCCTCGACATCCCGTACCCGATCTACCAGCGATACCCAGCGTTTGCGCTCCGCCACATCCTGTGACCTGAACAGCCGATTGGAGATGATCAGCACGCCGCCACCGCGGCCAACGGCACCCTGGTCGACAGCGAATTCCACCTCGCGGGGACCATATGTCGCTTTGTTGGTTTCTTTGCGGAGCTGGTCGAGGAAGTCGTCCATGAGCTTTGTCTCGCGCGCGTATTTGGTATCGGCAAGGATGGTCTTCACAGCCGGCGACTGCAGCACTTCCGCTAGCGAGTGCAGATAACCGGAAGCCGAGTGTACAACCACAATACTGGGTAGGAGGCGTTTAAGTGCCGGGGTCGAAGTGGATGCCTGCGACTGGATGTACTTCTGGAATCCGGAGGCCACGAAGCCTGGCGATGCAAGGAGAACCGGTCGAACGGTCTCGCTGCTGGTGAGTGAAGCCGAGCTGGTGTTGAATTCCAGCTGGCGCAGCAGCGTATCGAGTGTAACCTGGAAGAATTTCGACATACCCTTTCCCCACCCCCAACCTGTCAGCATACACAAACAACTCCAACACGGGGACAGATAATCATGGTACAACCCACCTTATCATGATCACCCCCACCATGCCGTTTCCTGGGCACCGACATCTCAATCTTCTGCTTTAGGATAGTCTGAAACTGCCCAATAAAGCAAATATGCGCCAACCCTTCCTGCATCACCACGGCCACGGCCTCCGCCCTCCGTTGTCCCCCTTCATCCACCGCATCCTTCAACATCTGCACCGCGATACTGTCCCATCCGACGCCCTCACCGTCCGCTCCAACTTCCTTTTCTAGCGTGAAGTTCCGATTCAGCTCAAGATCGAGCGTATGGTGTTGCCCGATCTTCGTATGGGCCGTCTCGTTCACAATTGTCCCGCTAACATGTAGCTGCGAACTCTGCGGATCGAAATCAAGGTTCTTAACGCGGATCTCTAGCGTCAAGTGGACTCGAGCTGAGGTAGTAGAACCGGTTTCTTGAGTTGTGGTGACACGACGGATAGCGCTGGCGCGGAGAAGATCGTTCGGCCGGATCAGGTTGTATGCGTGCCACTGAAGCCGTTAGTTGGACAAAGAGCTACCCCTCAACCAGGAACAGAGTATACCGTACCATATCCTCAGGCTCCTCAGGACACAAGGTCACCGTTCCAGAGCCATTGTGCTCGATTTTGTTCTTGATGAGACGCATCTTGGCTGTAGAACAACAGAGTTCCTCGCACGGCGGGGTAATGTTCTGGTAACTGGGACAGCCAGGGTGGCGTGGTAGCAAGATGCCTTTCAGTACGCTTAATTATATGCTGAGTAGTCAGATACCTCCTAAGCAGTATCACAATCACTCAAAATATCGATAGGTAAAATCGTCACCGTCTGCGACGGACAGATCCCTCCTTCCAATCAGGCTCTGGATGATGACGACCAAACTGACCTGCGGGCGGCAGCCTCAGGACAGGACCACCCACCAGCTGCGGGACCGTCCCAAAGCGGACTAGCGATGTGTTGTCATCCGACCGAGGCTTGACTATCGATAAGAGGCGGAACCCTAAGACCTAAGCCCTGGTCGGAGATAAGATGATCAGATAAAAATTATCCCAGTGGATTTGTATGTATCATAGTGGGTATGCTATGTACTATGTCTATCCGATCATCATTATAGCAGAGTGTGCAGACTCCTCATCTCCACAGATCAAAATTGTCAGGCATATAGCATCAAATAATATCAAATACGAAAATTGGAATTAGCACACACCACACCGGACCATCTAAACCCGAGTTCTTCCATCTCCGCTCGTACGTACCAACTTCAACCCCCATGCCTTTCATGACGTGGGGCGGGATGAGCGGCATTACTTTAATATGGTTCATTTCCCGGGTTGAGAGGGGGGGGGGGGGGGGGGGGGAACCTTGAGTTCCGGCGGAGCATATAAATTAGTCTCGTATTTCTTCTTGTTGTGCAATTGGAGGCTTCTTCTACCTTTACATACACCCTTTCTCTCCCCAAAAATAATAGAAACAGGGTATACTGAGCAAAATGTCCCTCTCACTACAATCAACCAAGAAAATGGTCTCGGGGTACGAGATACCTGTTCTCGGATATGGTGTGAGTATTCTTCATCCCTCCTGTCTAGTTTATCTCCGGGTCATGGTCTTCAACTAATGTGTGTATCAAATTGTATAGGTTTATAAAACGTGCGTCCCTACTCACCCCTACCATACCAACCCTAGCCACCTCATCAATTAACTCATACGAACAGTCCTCCCGACGTCACCGAATCCGTTACCCTCAAAGCACTGGAACTCGGATACCGTCACGTACGCACACACACCACCACCCACCCCTCTCAACCCCCAACCCAACTAACCACACCAAACTATGGCGAACGATAGATCGACAGCGCCCAACTCTACAACAACGAAGCCGAATGCGCCCTCGCCATCTGCCGCTCCAACATCCCGCGCTCTCGAATCTTCTACACGACCAAAATCCCCACCACGCACATGTCCTACGAGAAAGCCAAAGAAGCGATCGAGTCTAGTCTAGCTGCTGCCAAGGGATTGGGGTATATTGACCTGTACGTCTATCTCCCTCCCCTCCCCCCTCCTTATACGAACCTAACATCCAGATGCTAATAACAACGGGGATAATGTAGAATGCTCCTCCACGCCCCCTACGGCGGGCGCAGCGGCCGACTCGGCGCCTGGCGCGCCCTCGTCGAAGCGCAAGCAGCAGGAAAGATCCGCTCGCTGGGGGTATCGAACTACGGGATTCGACATCTAGAGGAGCTGGAGGAGTATATTCGGAGTGGAGGGGGCGGGGAGATTTCCGTCGGGCAGTATGAGATCCATCCGTGGTGTGCGCGGGAGGATATTGTGGGTTGGTTGAGGGAGAGGGGGGCGGTGGTTGAGGCGTATGCGCCGCTTGTGCAGGCGAAGAGGATGCAGGAACCGGTGTTGAGGAGGTTGGCGAGTAAGTATGGGAAGAGTGAGGCGCAGGTTTTGGTGAGGTGGAGTTTGCAGAAGGTGAGTTTCTCTTTCTTCCTTTCTTTGTGTAAGGGTGTTTGTGGACGATGCTAACGAGGTGTAGGGATACGTGCCGCTGCCTAAATCGGTGACCGAGTCGAGAATCGTGGAGAATTCGCAAGTGTTTGATTTCGAGCTGTCCGCGGAGGATATGGCGGAGTTGCAAACGACGGAGTATGCGCCTGTTAGTTGGGATCCGGCGAGGGATTCGAAGTTGTAGATGAACACTCTGTAGAAGGAAGAGTTAGTCGCTGGTTGGAAGTTAGTATGAATAAAGCGAGACAATAGTGAATAGAAAACAAAGCAGACAACAATAACCAAGTTAAGACAAGTGAGAGTCAAGTCAATACGGGGTAAACAAGCGGTGATCCAATCTCGGCACAACATATCCCCGTCGCGGCCTCCTTCCGCATTCCACACCCTTAACTACTACTACATCTATAATCAAACAACATCAGTCGATAATACCTACGACACACCCATGGCCTCTCCACAATAACCTCCTTCCCTCCTTCTACAGCAAGACAATGCCTCCTCACCCTCAAATGTCTCCTCCTCACTCCCCGACCGTCCCCCAAAATGCCCCCCTCCCCCAGCAAGCGCATCATCCTCGAAAAGTCCCGCACCGTGCGCCGCCGGTACCAGCGCAGCAACAAACGCTTTCAATTCACGGCATCACAGATTGCGCGCATCGAGCGCGAACAAGAGCGCGAGAAACGCGCCCAGCAGCTGCGCGACAAGGAGAAGAAACGAGTCGCGAATAAGAAGAAGAAAGCGGAGAAGGAGGCGCGCGATAGAGAGGAACGAAGGAGATTGGGGCGCATGGGATTGCCGGATCCGAATGCGCCCGTGCCGCCGTCGAGTCAACCTTTGTTGTTTAATTTTATTAAGAGGAAGGATGGGGAGGAGGGGGAGAGTAGCAATGGTGGTGGGGATACGGAGGTAGATGAGGGTGAGGATACGGAGGTGGATGAGGATCTTTTGGAGGATTTGGAGGCCGTTGTTGATGCTGCTGAGGCTGAGGCTGATGGTTTGGATTTGGATTTGGGTTTGGATACTGGGGAGGAAGGGGAGGGTGAGGGTGGGGATCATGGAGATGAGGCTACGGGTTGCGATCAGGGTGATAATGAGGGTGAACAGCAGGTCCGGGCTAAAGAGGAGGATGAGTTCTCTGATTGTTCTATCTTTTATGATGAGGATATCATCAAAGAGGCCGATGATGCTACTGCGCCGGATCAAGCTGCGTTGCACGATAAGCCGGGAAACCAACCCCACCCCTCAACTGCCGACTCATTCCAAGACGACACGGCACTTCTTCTCGAAGAATTCGGCCATGAATTCGAAATAGACGAAGAATTCGAGCAAGCACTGGTTGCACTGGATGCCGTGTGATCCGAACGAATACTTTTATAGTATATGGCAGATAAACAAAGCGCTTCCGACCCGAAGGCGATCCGCCTGTCGGATAGCGACGCCCCTCGTCGGCTCGGGCGGTGATAAGCGGGCGGCTTGCCTCCCCGCCACGAATCCGTCGATCCGACGGATTCAACACGGTGAGAGAAAGGGTGAATATGGGTAAGCTGTATTGGCATGCAGCGGATGCAGTGAGAGGAAAGATGGACATCGGAAAGGAAAAGTCATGATGGAAAAGCAAGGCCAAAAAGTTGAGGCCACAGCTCCTCCCCGCACATGACGTCGGCCAACAGAGCTAGATGCATATCCGATCGATCGAAACATCTCCGGCAAACATCTCCCCTCTCAACATTCTCCCCTCTCACCTTTCACAATCCATTGGAAACCCAAACCCAGAAGAGACACACACCATGCCGACCGTCACCGTCAACAACCACCAAATCTACTACGCCGATACCCACCCGGACGGTGCTCCGGCCACCGGCCAAACCATCATCTTCATCCACGGCCTGGGCTCATCGCAGAACTACTACTTCCCGATCCTCCCATACCTAAGTAACCACCGCTGCATCACCCTCGATACCTACGGCTCAGCCCGATCCACATACACCGGCGACGCCATCAGCATTGCCTCCATCGCATCCGATGTAATCGGAGTCCTCGACGCACTACAAGTCCCCAAAGCAGTGGCCGTCGGCCACTCCATGGGCGGGCTGGTAGTAACCCTGCTCGGCGCACAATACAGCGGCCGCATATCAGGCGTCGTCGCCATCGGACCTACCCACCCGTCCGAGAAGCTCGCAGAGGTGATGACGCAGCGCAGCGAGACAGTCTCAAAGGGTGAGCAGGACCAACCAACCAACTAGCAAGCAAGCAAACAAACAAGTCATCAAACTAACATCTCTTCCAGTCGGCATGGAACCAATGGCAAACACCATCCCCAACGGAGCAACCGGCTCCCGCAGCTCCGCACTCGTCAAGTCGTTCATTCGTGAATTGATCATCGGACAGAACCCCAAGGGTTACGCGGCGCTGTGTCTGGCGATTGCTAATGCGCCGGTGATTGATTACTCGAAGGTTACGGCGCCGTATCTGCTGATTGCGGGCGAGGAGGATAAGTCTGCGTCAATGGAGGGGTGCGAGCATATTCATGCGGGTGTGTCGAGTGCGCAGAAGAAGTTGGAGGTGTTGAAAGGGGTGGGACATTGGCATTGTGTGGAGGCCCCAGAGCAGGTGGGAGGGCTTATTGGGGGGTTTGTGCAGGCTTTGTAGTCAATTGGATGAGATATTCTATACATAGTATGAATTGGTATTTAGATATCTGATGAAGCTACACTACGAAACAAGACCAAGTCACTCTACCTCGTACTAAACCATCGAAAGAATACACTAATAGACGACCGCTCATACTATACAATTTACCACATATCATAAAACAAAAGAACAACTTAAATAAGTGATATATACTATGAAAGTAAGACAGATCAGTTCGCCGGCGCCCGCACCAACTTAACATCATAGTTCAACTCAAGACCAGCTTGAGGATCATCCTTGCGAGGCACGAAATCCACAATCAGCGAATCCTTCACGGCAAATACCGAGTCATTGGTGAGGTATTTATCCTTGGAATCGAAGATTTGCGTCGTGAGAGGCTTGTAGCCGTCGTATGTAGCCTGCGATTCCCCATAATGATTAGCAAAACCCACCAACCAAGATATGAAAGGGAGAGGGGGGAGATAAACGTACAATAATATGAATATGCGCCGGCCTAAACGGATGTCTATCCATCAACTCGAGCAATTTTCCAGCGGGACCTATCCCAACCACCACCACATTAGCCACAATCCCTACCATAAAAAACGATAAGATATAAGGATCTCACCATCATCCGGCACCGGATACGGCGTCGGCCTCAAACAATAAAAGCTATACCTCCCCTGCTCATCGGTCTTGAACTTCCCCCGGAGATTAAACTCCTCTTGCTGGGGATCCTGCTGCTCATACAACCCATTCGTACTAGCCTGCCAGACCTCCACCGTGGCGCCGACGAGCGGCTTCTTAGTCTCAAAGTCGACGACTTGACCGTGCATAAATGCCATTTCGCCCTCGCCATTGGGCGGCGGGGTCAGCACAATGTTCGCTCCGTTCTCGCGGTAGGGTGTGTCGGCCCGGAAGAATGGGCCGAGGATGGCGGTGGCTGTGGGGGCGTCGGGGGCTTCGGAGGCTAGGGTGTAGGTGATTTCGTCTACTAGACTGTTTTTTTATTAAATAGATTATTTGTTAGTATATGTTTGTGTGGAGGGGATTTTGGTGGAGGGTATAATCATACGACTCCAGTCCGATAACATCACAAACAAGCTGTCCCTCATTTCGCTTATCATCGCTCATTTGACCAGCCCAGTTGAGGAGCTTCACGCCGGCCATCCATTCATCGACGGTGAGTTCGTTTTCGCGCGCGTAGTCGTGGACGTGGCGGATTAAACCGGTCATTAGTTGGCGGAAGCGCGGGGTCGTTTTCGGACCCATGCTGTTGATGACGTTGTCTGTAAAGTTGGGGTCGAAGCGCGGCATTTTGGATACTTCTCTTTTTCTTTTTCTTTTATTGTGTTTTCTTTGATGTGTAGGTATAATGTATATGAGAGGTGTATGTATGGGTATAAAGGAGGAGAGTTGAGGGAGGGAACTAGCAGAGGTCAAACTAAGATGAATGGTGGTGTTTGGTGCTTTATATAGTAGTAACTAGTTAAGTACTAACTTAAGTACTACTTAATAGGATGATTGTTAATGGATCCCCCGGATTCGCTGTCGCTGGTCGGAAAGCCCTCTTTTGGCTCTGATCGGATGGGCTTTTCCGATGGGTTTCCCCGCACGCTTCGGATGTACATACTTTGACTTACTTTCAATGTTTGGTTCAGATGGTTCCCCACGCCGGATTGATCAATTGCCTGATGGTTGCATACGACTTTATCCAACCATTATATGCACATACTAACTAACGTATGAAGTTAAGTGCGATTCCCTCCCGTCGGACCTCCTCCCCTCTTCTTCCCTCCCTTTTGCGCCCATTCCGACGGCCACTCCTGCACCACCTGTCCCCGTTCCCAAATCTTGCCCATCTTGCGCTCCACCACCACATCCACAAACTCCAATGGCACTACCTTCTCTCCCTCATTCCCATCGCCATCCTTATTTACAGCCAACCCCTCGCTAAGAACCACCCCATTCTCACTCCTCCAGAACGGACATCCCGCACTCAACGCCTTCTCCAAATCCACATAGATCAACACCTGCGCATCCCTCCGCATCCCCGAAATCACCTGTCCCGGCGCGGCCACCGCATTCCCCGCCAACACATCCTCTACTGCTGGTCCCGTCGCAAAATGCACCTGGTTGCGGCCCATGCAGCGGAGTCCGCCGGAGGAGAAAATGGCCGGCCATGCGGAGTGGAAGGTGCCGTGGACGACGGTGCGTGGGAGTTTATCCTTGTCTGAGAGGGAGAGTTTCTCGAGGAGGTGCGCCGCTTCGACGGTCTTGATGCTGTGGCCTTGTGTGGCGCGGATGAGATAGTGGGAGGGGTTGGGGTCGGTGGTGGTTGCGGCGAGGGCGGTGGTTGTGGTGGTTGTGTCGGTGGATTCTTGCGATTCGGGTTTGGTTTCTGTGCTGCTGGGGTCTGTAGATGTAGATGTAGTGGTTGGTTCTGTAGCGGTTGGTGTAGGTTGGGTTGTAGAGGGGGTGTATAGCAGCGCGAATCGCTTCTTATCGGAGTTTGCGACGGCGTCGACGATCTCGGGGAAGGTCACTTTAAGGGATTTGAGTTTGCGCCATGCTAGCTATATAATATCGTAGTTCATATTAGCTGGGAAGTTGTTCATGGGGCATGGCTGCTGCTGCTGTGGAAGACGCACCACATCAGATACATTGGCGTAGCCTTGCGCATCTATCGGTAGGCCTTCTTTCTCGGCGGCGTGACGGAGAAGTAGACTCAGTGCTTTGGAGACCGTGACGGCGCGGCTAGCGGGAGGACGACCCTTAGGCATGATGACTTTGCTGAGGGAACAAATCAAGTCTAACTGGGAGATTGGAGATGAGAATGAAGTGGGATGGAGTGTCAATGAGATTCAATGAGATGTGCGGAGGGAAGATGGAGGGGCTCGGCGGAACTTTTCCACCCTCCGCGGGCCCACTTATGCTCCCCGATATCTGCTATCTCATTCACGATTTTAGTATTCACTCTATCACATGAATGATATGCCCTTTATGATGATTCAATATACTATTAATGCTTTCCCACCCATCTATCCCTAATTATACTCCAGGCATCAACATGAACTATCAAACAACCGCGAAATGGGTATATCACAAAACGCATCCTACTGAATCAAACAATCCCCATAACCTGATCCCATCCTTACTCATCCAAGTAGAATCACCGATCACAAATACAACTACACTCCGCCACCGGACACACCTTGTGTCGCGCAAACCACTCCCGCGCATGATGCGCATGGAACCCGTGGTTGCAATTAATGCAGAACACAATAAACCTCCGCATCAGTTCCGTCTCAGATGGACGTCGTCCCGCCGCATCTGCCGCCACACATGCCTTGGACATCGGGTCCGGCGCTCCCAGCCATAGCGTGCATACTCCGCACCGCGGCATATGGCGCCCGCAGCGTGGACACACTGTGCCGGACATGGCGGCGCTGCCGAGGGGATTGCCTGGCGTTGGGTGTGTGACTTCGCCCGTCACCGAGGGGGTCAGTTGTGAGGAAGCGTCGTGCTGCGTGAGCGGTCGTGTGCAGTAGTTGCAGGTGAGACTGACTTGTTGGCGGGGCGGGTCGACCAGTTTGCGCCCGTCCCAGGTGACGGCGAACTTGCGGGAGCCGACGTCGAAGCGTGCGCGCTCGAGTTGCAGTTTCCATGCGTTGATCTGCTGGCGGTAGGTCTCGCGCCAGGATTCGAAGCGGGCGCGGTCGGGTGAGTTGTTGATGAAGCGGGGGACGGTGTGGCTCATTGCCAGTACGGCCGTTTGGATGTCGTGGAACTTGTTGATGTACGATTGGAAGAGGTCCATGGCGGAATGGTTGAGTCCGGTCAGCAGGATGCCTTCGATGTCGCCTTGCTGGATGGCTGTGGTGGTGGTTTCGTGAAGATAGCTTGTCAGGTCGTCGTCCGGGAGCCAGCGCAGCGCTACCTCGATCCGGTATCTGAGCGGAAGAGTGGTCTCCTGGATGACAGAACGCCAGTCGCCCTTGCTCACGAGCGCGAGAATCGCTCGCGCGTAGGGGTCGGTGAGCTCCTTGGCTATCTCAGCGCAAGTGTCTTCCCAGTCTGAGTCGGTGTCGCCTTTCGCGGCTCCTGCAATGGCCATGGCGAGTAGTTTATGAGCTTGGGTGGGCTCGTGGCTCCGCAGAGCCAGGTATGCAAGTTTCGCTTCGTCTTGGAACATGGCCAGCGCAGCGGCCTTGGTGTGTTGCTTATCAGCGGACAATGTCTTGACCAACTCTTCAAGCTCCCGGTGCGATTGCGCTGCGCCGCAAAGTCGCAGGCACAGCCGGCGATGTTCGGGGTATTCGGTCTCGCAGCCTTTCGTCTCGGGGAGGTTGAGCTGATCTTGAACCAGCTCCACGATGGTTTCGTGAATGTCAGATGCCGGGTTGCCACCGACTCGTCGGTTATGGAGACTCTCTCCTGTTGGAGTTAGCCATTGCACGTACTCCAGAAAACCAGACTACCTACCTAAATCGTTGTTCCAGACATCGTAAACGCCCAGGTAATTCAGATCCAGCCCATTGATTATCATAGATTCATTGCTAGAGTCGGAGCGTGCACCTACTGTAATTAGTACATCCTGTGATAACTCGGTTCCGCACTTACGTTCAGCCCAATCCCAGAAGCCCTGCAGCCATGGGTCATCAGCGAGGATCTTCTTGTTCCGTGCCTCGTCAAACAAATAGCCTTCTTTGCAGCGATACCGGTTCACCGACAACAGGGTCAGAGCATCCTTTACAGGCAGCTGACCGCCCAAGGTCCCCAACGACAAGGCATGTTCCCTCGCCTCACGGCTCGACAAAGGCGTCGCTGGTCGATTGCCGGCCCGGCGTCCTTTCTGCGAAGTCTTCCCATTGGAATCAGACACTGCTCGTTCGCGGACTTCCTCCACCATCTCCGAAATGCTCAACCCGTGACTGGACTGGGGATTGATCGCTCGGAAATCAGAATCCTCATCCGAGGTGCCCCATATCAATGTTCCCTGCGACGACAGCCGCACCGGCGGCGCTGGAGGCTTCGCGGTGAGAATATTCACCTCATCGTTCCCGGAAATCGTAATGGCGCTGGGCTCATTGCCCGGACTCATATTAAGAAAGTCAAATGCCACAACCCTGTCCTTTTCATCATATCCCCGAGACGGATGGTTGTACGGCGTCACAACGTCTCTGACGTGCTTGGTGTAAATCTGCTCGGGGTAGTTCCTCGCCGAGCCCTGACCCAAGGTCTCATCCATAGACGAGCGCATCTCCTCGTCCAGATACTCCTTGACAATGTCGTAGGTTTTGAAATGCCCCGTATTGGACAGCACGCCCAGACAGCCCCTCTTGGTCCTGGAGAAGCGCAAACTCCAGATAGTCGATTTCGGTGCAATGACATTCCCAAACTCCAGCGACGGCCCCAGCTGGCTCGTCTCCAGGGCATTTGCCGGTCCAACAGCCGGCGTAATGAAGCGCGACCCAATGCGCCGATCCCAGATACAGATAGTCGGATCATTAGTAGCCTGACAAGAGGCGATATAATTCTCATCAAGCCAGTCAATAGCCACATTATGCACACAGCGCGTGGGAAATTGCAGTGACGGGTTTCCAGGTCCCTCTGCTTCAATCAGCATCCATCACCCACCCCACCCCACCAGGAAATCAAAGAGAGAAAAGAAACTCACCTCTCAAATCATAAATCCTCACAAACTGCCCCTTCACCCCCGTAACCAACGTATCCGGCTGATCACTAAAGAACTTGACACTAGTAATGGGTTCCGAACTGGCCAACTTCCTCAACGGCTCCACAAACCCCTTAACAGCCTTACTCGCCAACCTCTGATTAACATCCCAGATATTCAAACAAAAGTCATTGCGCACCCGGTCCAGCCCCGCAGCCAGCAACCCATGCGTACTAAACGCAACCGCATTACAGTACCGCTGATGTCGAATCGGAAACGAGTACGATTCCTGACTATCGCTCTTCATGCGCAATATCGTCGCATCCCCGGACGACTGGCCCACCGCGACTAATGATTCATCCACCGGTGACCAATCGAACGCCCGGAACGCGGGCACTTTCGTATGCGTCGCTAGCTCTTCATGCTCCAGACGGCCTCCTCGCTCATATGAGGTTACCTTGCACAATCGAAACGCTTTGCTCGTCACGTCCACGGAGAGGAAGCGTTGTTCGCCTGTCGTGGAGGTGGGGGACCACCGGATGGCTTTTTCCATTTTATTTTTTTTTTTTTTTGATATTTCCCCTTTGGGGTGGGGAGGGAAACTTATGGTGTGGGTTTGTGATCTGTCCGCTTTTTTGTGTGGTTTGTTGTGTGCCCACTTCTCTCACACTCACACACACTCTTACGCCGCCGTCGCCCCTGTGTTCTGGAATGGGGACTGGGGCTGGGCTGGGCTGGGCTGGGGCTGGGAGGGCTTCGTCGCAGATGCGACTGGACCGGTCACCAACTGAGATGTGATTTCAGCCGCGCGAATCTGATCTGTCACTGCCCATCGGTGGGGGATTATTCCTTTTTTTTCTTTTGGTTTCAAAATATCAATCGCACATCAGAAAGACCCGTCTAGCCCAAATAGACAACAGTCATGGGAGGTTGTCCCTGCGCCTGCCTTTGCGAGGTAGTAATGATATAGAGAAGTAAGTGTAAGAGGAACAGTAGTTCAATCCATATCCTTGGAAATGCGGCGCGCGTCATGGGACTATCCCCGCGCTGATTGGCCAATCTCGCCTTCCAGCAATCCGGGGCAGCTTTTTTCCCGGTCCGACAAATGATCCGACCATTATCACTTTTTCAAAATAATATTCCATTAAAAATAATTGCAAACTATTTACCATCAGCCTCCCCGTTTTTTTCCTCTCACCCAGACCGCACCCCGGAAAGAGAAAAAAAGATTCGAGATAACAATGCCACGAGAGTACGCCCCCGCCGACAGAAAACGCAAATCCCACGATATCTCCGACGATGCAGATGCAGCAGCAACAGCGCCCGGAGGAGGTCCGCGGAAGAAAATCCACCTCCCTAAGAAAGAACACAAGTACCCGTCTGTCAACGAGCTCAAGAAACGGATTCGGGATGTGAAGCGTCTACTCAATAAGGCGGACTTGCCGGCTGATGCGCGCATTGTGCAGGAGCGTGCGTTGTCGGGGTATGAGAAGGAATTGGAGGATGAGTTGAAGAGGAGGGATCGGTCGAAGATGATTAAGAAGTATCATTTTGTGAGGTTTTTGGGTATGCTTTTCTCCTCCCCCCCTCTTCTCTCCCTTTCTCCTTCCATATATGGATATTTTTGCTAATCCGGAATCCGATCTGTGTAGACCGCAAAACCGCAACCAAAGACGTGAACCGGCTGGTGCGCCGCGAAAAGGAAGTCTCTAGTGCCGGTCCCGATGTCATGGATGAGAAGACCAAGGAGAAGAAACTTGCTTCGTTGGCCGGGAAGCTCCGAGTCGCTCGCGTGAACTTGAATTATACCATTTACTATCCGTTGGATGAGAAGTATATCGCCTTGTACGCGGAGCAGAAGAAGAAGGTCAAGGGAGAGGGTGCTGAGGATGGTGGCGATGGCGCTGACTCGGACGGTGATGCGCGGTTTGGAATGGTGCATGCGACGGTTGCGGATAAGCCGGCGATGTGGCATGTGGTGGAAAAGTGTATGAAGGATGGGACGTTGGATTTGTTGAGGGATGGCAAGTTGGAGTCTGGGGCGAAGGCTGGTGAGAAGGATCGGAAGAAGGAGGAGAGAAGTCAAAGGGGTGGTGAGAAGGCGAAGAAGAGCCAGGAGCGTGGGCTGTCGTCGCAGGCTGGGAAGAGTAAGGACAGGTCCAGGAAGGTGGATGATAGGAAGAGGACTAGGGGATCGACTGCTGAGGATCATGTCATGCGGGATGCGGGCAATGATGATGGCGAGGAGAGTGATGGCGGTTTCTTTGAGATGTGAAATTGCCGTGTGTCTGGGCTGGTTGAGCGTGAACGCATTTTCTGGAGTTGGAGTTACATGTCTTATCTGTTTCTTTCCTGGGCCTTTCTCATTGAAGTGTGCGGCTATGCCCTTATACGATACCCAATGATCAAGTGTTTTCAACGATCCGAGTTTCTACAGTAGAACGCTAGAGGCTAGATGCTAAGAACCAGTTCGAATCTAAATGATTGTTTGTGGATGCTTTCACCAACTCCGGCTTCGCCATCCTTCTAAGTACAGTAGATGAACGAGAAATACACGTCGATCGGTGGCAGACCGACTCGCCAGAACACCCGAAAGATGCGCAGTGGTGACCCGGATTCTCAGGGCAGTCAACGCTCCCGATATCTCTGGGCCGACTAAGTGACTGGCACTTGTCGCGGAATCATCATGTCATATCTCATAGCATGCCCCAGTAGAGCGATGCTTGCAAACCCAGCATGCGATTCCAGCGATCATCTACCCAACAGGGTGAGACGAACGTTGGTACATAAGGGGCAAGGTTTCCAGAACCTAGTAAATCAAAACATTGAAACGAGTGATCGCTCCAAACACACTTTCTCTCTCAAGATCGACCATCAGACGAGTAGTCATCTTACATGACACTGCAGCCTCCTGTGCCGCCGCCTTCGGTGTGTCGCCGTCTTCCTGCCCCGAGTGTAGTGACAGCCCCGACACCGAACGCTGCGTCTTCGTCGTCTTCGTTATAGATTCTCTCGGCTTCACGGGCTCGACGCCGTCTTCTTCTCACCCCGGATCCCGGAGCACCCGCTTCTTCGGTTGCCATCATGTACTCGGCCCACTTCCGATCTAGCCTGCTCGCAGCCATAAGATCACCACGGAGGACTCGCTTGTTGTGCTCGTCCACGGTCGGCTGCCAGCCATAAAAGCACTTCAGATGGATGATTTCGTTGGGGTATACGGGTGGCGGCGGCGGAGGTGTGATAGAGGACGCAATTAGGGTCGCGGACTGACTGGGATCTACCGTGTGGGTGACAACCGAGACCGCTTGCATGGATTTGCGGGTAGCGCGCGGGAGGTACGCATTGCTTGAGAGGACTTCCCTTACACCGGCCCAGGTGACATTGGCGCAATCAAATACAACCAGACGGAGGCCGATCTTGGGAAGGTTCTCATCGTAGCCACGCTTGCGCACGCGGAAACTGGCTTCCATTAGGGTCAGGTCGGACACCCGAGTGTTGTCCATTTCAACGGAACGGAGGGAAGGACAATTCTTCATGATCTGCAAGGTTCCAATGTCACCGATGCTCTCACAATAGCTGATGTTGAGGTGTTGCAGGCGCGCAGCACACGGGGACTTGGCAAGCTCGAGAAGCGTATGGTTGGATAGCCTTTCCATATCCTCCAGGTCGAGGTGTGTCAGGCGAGGTGTGGTCCGAATCACCGCCATAACAGATTCGTCGGTGAGCTCAGAGCATTGTGATAGTTGCAGGCCTTCCAGATCCGGCACATTGTAGGCAAGACACTTGACACTGTCATCTGTCAATTCCGTGCACTGGTGGATGTCCAGATGTTTAAGTCGTCGCGGAGGAACAAGCGCGCGTTCCTCGAGAAGATCCATTTCAGGGTCAAGGCCATGCACAAGCGCCTTCAGACACTCGTCCGTAAGATCGGTGCGACTCATAATCAGGCGTTCCAGGGTATTTCGCTCGAATAGTTGAACGGCGAATTCGACGTCGTCAAACCCACGAATTTCACTCGCCCGGAGATCCTTCAGATTTTTGCAAGCGCTGACAATCTTCTTTAGCCCCGCGGTGTGAACGCCGGTGCACCAGGATACATTCAAGATCTGGAGTTGAGGGCAGGACTGTGCGATAATCGTCATGGCAGAGTCACTGACAGACGATAAGCCGGACAAGTTGATATACTCCAGTCGGGGGTTGCGCAAGAGAAAGCAGTTGATCGATTGAGTGTCGATGCGGCATCCTTCCAACGAGAAGTTGACGACGTTTCGGCACAAGTCGGTGATGCGATCGCCATCAGTCTTCCATTTATCCTTCAATTGGACACAGCCCCGGAGGTTGAGATCGCGAACGAACGGCCCACCGGCGGTAATAAGCTTTACAAGACCATCGCTAGGGATATCGCGGTAGTAGTCTGTCGTGTCGACCTCAGTCCACAACTGTCCATCATAACACATTTTGTTCCATGCCCTCGAAACAGCAGAGCAACGGACAATCTCCTTCGGGGTGAGGTACTGGAAAATGCGCATCTTCAGCTCATCCGGCATATTCCCCCAGAAATCAAAGACTTTCTTAGGCTTGGGGGTCGACCGCGCCGTGGCAGTCTGATCAGCTGCGTCTATTCCCAACGGCGACCCACGAGAGCCTGGTCGCAGATCGGTAGGCAATGGAACTGTCCGCGCATTGGGCGAGTCGGAACCGACAAGACGAATTCGAGGATTTCCCTCATGGTCAACTGGGAATGCAGCAGCACCGGGAGTAATCGGACGGGCGTTCAATCCACCATAAAGTTGAGAGGTGCTTCCATTACCCAGACAAGGAGTGTATGCGGATTGGGACAGGGAGACACAGGACAAAGAGGCCTTGTTGTCACGACGGTATCCCGTAGAATGGGACCGGCCCCGTCTGGTCAGACTCGGGCTTGACGAGATGCGCTGCAGGCTCTGGAGCAACTTGTGACGTCCCTTGAGTTTGGGCGGTTGTTCCAAAGGGATCTGGCCAGTTGAAGAAGCCGGGCTCGCCGGCGAAGCCGCTTCAGGCGAAGCCCTGATCTCATCAGGAAATGCAGTAGCCATGACGGAATTGCGTTATCGAGATCCGAGGCTCCTATGATCACAAATATCTCAACAATCAATATGTCGGAGAAGGCGGAGATGTATGCGAAAGGTTTGTAGACAGTCGAACAGCTCTAGCCAGAACGATTCGTGGCAGCGACAAGCACGGGTGGTCGCAGTAAATCCAGTCCTAGACAGTCATAATGAAGCCGGACCGCCAGCCGTTCCGCAAGTATGATTCTCAAGATAGCGATAACCGCGATAACACATTTATCGCCCTGATCGAAGCAAAAACGCCGAACCCCGATCCTGCGGATGGACAGGTTTTGTCGAGAGAGCGAAGAGGAAGCGAAATGGAGAGGATGAGGGTCAGCAGGGCAGCAGACAAACAAGCGACGCAAGTCGGGGGAGTGTGTCGGCTAAGGAGTTGTTAACGATGGTACCATGGGACAGGAGACCGCGTAACCCCGGAGAAGTGGCAGCGATTGCGGGTGGCCGGCACAGGCTTTGGATTTCCCTCCAAGTAAAAAAGAACACTGGGTTTCGTACAGACGTCACCGAAGCATCATCCACAGTGGTCAACACGAAAAGGTAAACGGAAAGCAAGCAGTAAGGCTACACGCAAACGGAAGACCCTGCAGGAGAGCGAACAGCGAAGATAGTAGTAGTTGGTGGGAGAAGAAAGGAAGTAGGCAAGTAGGCAAGCAAGAAAGAAGACAGAAGGGGGGAAAGAAATAACGTAAGGCTGGCCAAGTCAGACGACAGCCAGTTATCGGACAGCAAGCAATTCAGTCTGACGGACAGAGCCACCACTGCCACTAACTACCAGTAGAAAAGAGAGAAACACCGAAACGAAAAAAAAGGCTCAGGGAGCGTGGAGACTCGATGGCCTGCATGGCCACCACAGAAACAATGGAGACGGACCGGGCGAGCTTACTGGATTGGACCATTCACAGCAGCCACTGTCCCCCATTCTGAGCAACACATAACCAGTCGGTGGGAAGAGGGACTTGCCGAACAATACCGTACCTGTCGGGGGATCGTTCAATAGTCCGTTCAACCCGTGAGACCTGAGTTGAGTTTACTTTTTACTAGTACGTAGTAACTGAGTTACCCCACAGGCTTATCGAGACATTCCATTCTCTCTCCTGCCAGACTTATCGATTAGACTAGCGCTGTTTCTTATTCCCCACTTTTGGCTCCCAGGCGGTGGCGGTGGTTCCCGGCGGAGTCAATCCAACACGCGGCATTTTATTTCTTTACCGTCTGTTCCGATACAGTGAATGGTCAATTTAAATTTGAACAATGGCTTCTGATTCATCTTTTGAGAGAGGGCAGATAAGAAATGGTGGTCTCATGGACATACTACCTCAGATCAGAAGTTCAAGTCAGCCGATCAATCGAGAAAAAAAGGTTCACCTGTCAAAAGATAAGGATGGCGGGAAAAGGGCGTTACTGTTACGATCGGTATGCAAAACGACTGGGAAAGAATGGTAATATTGATAATCATTATACTAGTAGTAGTTAGTATCTGGTGTTATAGACTGGCTTAGCTCTCTCTCTCTCTCTCTCTCTCTCTCTTCCTTGTTCCTTGTCTTAAAAATGCAGTTATCTAGAAACAGCATATCTACCAGGCAAAAAGACAAACACCATCCCAATCCCAACCTCAACATCCCACAACATACACACAATCCTCCAAAGAGAAACAAGTGGACATAAAAACAAAAAAGAAAACAGAAGCGACAAACCCCCCCCCCCAAAACCCAATCCCTCCATCCTGCATCCTCTTCTCCCCTCTCCACTCCCCACCAAAAGAAAACACAACCCACTTTAAAACCCACCAAGCAGAGCCCAGAACACCACTCCCCATGCCACGGTACACTTCAAAGCACCACAACACAGCAACAAAAGAACAAGGGCCCAAGCCCGACCCGACCGGGGCTCCGAATGGGCGGAAAACGGCTTTTTCGTTCCTGGTCGCTTTCCTCCCGGATTGTAGCCCAATGATAGTGCAATTCTGGTGGGTGTGTGTGGAGTGGTGTGGCTAAGTCAGTAAGACAAGTGATTGTTACTTTAGTTACAGAAAGAAAACAGTCGTGTTTTCTTTGTCTCCACCCCACACTAAGTCATCCAGGTTTAGTGCTAGTCTACTACTTAGTATCTAAGGGATGGATGGGATCTTGTGTTGCTGCCTACCTAGGTTGTATTTTCTATCTCGTTGTTGTTCGCCTCTCCGATACACACAATTGTTGCGGTGGTGGATAGTGGAGAACGCCACCACTAAGAGAGAGAGAAAGAGAGAAAGAACACTAGGTAAAGAAAGAATTCAATGTATCGAATAATCAACCAACATAACGAACCCACGGAGTGGGTAAGGGGAAGATAGACTAGATAACATGCAGAATGAATAGATAGATTAGATAGATAATACACTTTCTACACCGTACGTCGTACAACCCTCACAGCAATCGAGGTATCGAATTCGTACCTGACTGACAGGTCAGACTCGCCGGCTAATACGCCCCCAAACCAGTAAGTAATACTAATATCCACCCCTCACATCCTTGGGTTCATCCACTTTTGTCACATTCTAATAATTGATGAGATTACTCTTGGTTATGTGATAGGTAGTGTTACTTTTATCTGGGGCATACTTAGTTCTCTACTAAAATATGAAGGCAGCCTACCAACTTTACGTTCTGTTACTTCTATAGTTGGCTACTATTCTGCTGGGGAAAGACATTGAGATGAGTAAACTAATTGACTGACTGACTGACTACCTCTTGGTGTGATCTCGCAGTACATCACGGATCACCGCCGGAGTTTGTTTCTCAGGCGGCTGACGGCCACGAGTTTCTCACTTGGTTACTAGCTAGATTAGACTAGACTAACTACTAGTATAGCTATGGCTAGACTTACACTTTTACGAGCACTAGTCTTTGGCTTTTTCTTCCCCCGCTTCCACCCCCGCAGTTGGTAAGGTAAGCAAGCCCGGCGAGATCCTCGCGCCATGTGGGATACGACTGGAACCAAACAGAAAGTAAGAAAGTAACTGATTGATTTAGTGCATGAATTGGTCGTGTCTCTCTATTCGTGCCCGCTTAATCTAAACTGCAGACTGGCTCTTGTGGCTTAAAAACATGTAAACACTCCGCGTGTCGAAAGAAGTAGGAAACGAAAATAAACACCACTGCTGAGGGTATATCGGATCTTTCATATGCATGTACTGCCAATTCTCAACCACCCCCTGGGCCATGCATGGTATCAAAGATGGTCCAAGTAAATGCAAAAAAAGAAAAAGAAAAAGAACATCATCTAACCAAAAGAGCATAAAAAGATGACAATGGGGTATCTCAGCCTCCGTAAACCTCTATACAAATGACCACGGGCCTTTCGGTCTGTTCAGGCATTTTTCGTTATCATCCGTTCCCAATGATTCCTGTCCCGTCTCGTGCCCCCAATCCACAAGTTCCCCCACGCTCCTATATGCCCTTGAACCATTTCATCCTGCTCGACTCCATCCATTTTCATCATTTTCAATCATAAACTCCATTGCATCTGGAGTCATCGCATACGCTGCTCGTTATCACCATCTTCAACGTCACAGAAGTGAAAGCAAGACTGAGAAAGACCCATGTCTCTGCATAGGCGGCGTGCGACGTCTGAAAAGCTGCACAATATCATCCAATGTATCATGCCATGGCGCATTTTATCTTCTTTGACGTCGTGCTCAACTGTCAATCATCCATGGATGCTCCAAAACTTCACTGATCGTCAGTCGGTTGTCCACATCTCGGTCAAGCATCCTCCGGATAAGGTCGATGCAATCCTCCGAGAAGGGTAAGAACGGGACTCGAAGAGGGTGATCCAAGATTTCGTCAACATTGTAAAAGGGATTCTCTTTGTAGACGATGGTGTAGAGTAAGATACCAAGGGCCCAAATGTCTTGCTCCTTGCCTCGGTAGGATTTGCCCTGAAGTACCTCGGGTGCCGCGTAATCTTCAACAAGTCAGCTTCTAGAGATTTCAGTGGGAGAAATGAGAATATTTACCAATCGTGCCCACGAACACATCAAAGGGTCCATTCTTGATATAGGCGGCACTCCCAAAATCAATCAGCTTAATCCGACCTTCCCCGTCCAAAATGACGTTCTCGTCTTTGATGTCGCGATGCACGACCAAAGCCTTCGTATGGAGATGATGAATTGCGTCCACAACCTGCTTGAAGATGTTCTGGCATTCCGCCTCATCCATATTCGCTTTCAGCTCAATGTAATCGAAGAGGTCCATTCCAGGTAGCCCGTGTGGGGTCATCTCGATGTAATAATTGATATCGTCCTCGAAAAATCCTTCCATTTCCACGATGTTGGGATGCTTCAGACCGTCGCGTCGGAGATAGTTCAGAACGTGGATTTCTAATGGTACCGTTCCTAGACGACGATCGCGGGTCCATGTATCGACAAGAATCCGTTTCTTCGTAACATACTTCAGAACCACTTTCTTGGTCGGAATCTTCTTCATGCGCGCAAGCTTCACTTCTCCGTAGGCTCCTTGACCCATCTCTTCGAGTATAATGTAATCGGCAATTGTTCGTTTTTGGGGCACCTCTTTGGTACCAGCCGGTCTTACTTCGGGCACTGGCTGGACTGGTTTGTCTGTTAGCGGTTGCGAGGCTGCTTCACTCAACTGCTGGCTTAAGCTAGAGGTCGGTATGTGTGTCTCTACCGATGTCCGCTCCGAGCCAATGGCATAAGGAGTAGAAGCCGTTGTGGAAGCCAGATTCGATGCAGAAATAGAAGACGGGCTTTCTGTCCGGGACGGCGGAGAAGGGAAGCCAGCCGCGGGAGCTGCCGAGTGAATATGTCTCGAATATGTCACCCAAAGTGCGTATACAAGCTCTGTGACAGCTTCAAACTCCGAGTCGCTGTGGTCTCCTGAATTGGGATCCTCTCGTGCCTTGGGGAACATTGTACCGCTCTTCGCCACGCGCATCTGGACATCTACAGCAATCGAGGAGCCATCGCGATGCACGGCAGCAAGGCCAGATGGTTCTAGGAAGACAGAGGCCACATTGGATTTGCCATCGCGGAGAATAGAGAGGGTGCGCGCTCTCCGGAAGCTGGGTTCAGAGATCACCAGACCGTCAACCAGCGGTACACTCTCCTCCTCGGTGAGCACGTTCAGCAAGCCGTCGAAGCCAGGTATCAAATCATTAACGTGTAAGCCTTCAGGTCGCTCATGTCCAAACAGCGCGGACGAGAAGACGGAATTGGAGCTGACAATTTTCAAAGTCGAAGAGGACAGCACCATCATACCTGCGACATGAGGAAAGCTCGATATTCGAAGGGATCTTGAGCTGTCGCCCTTGGTGATGGTGGACGGTATGCAGATTCCAGCTGATGTGCGAGAAGCGAAGTACTTCTTCTCGGTGATTTTGTTGAGGCCTTGATCGATAGGAGATTCAAGGCAGTCTGGTGGAAGATTAGGAAGCAACTCCGTGATCCGTTCCCCAGTTTTCGCCGCACCCTGACCCCAGACTTTGTCAATATCACCGGTGGCGTCAGCAATGTTCCAGGATTCATCGCAGCGAACGAACGCGACATTCTCCTGGATCTCCTCCATCACCCAAATCAAACCACCACGCTTTTCCATCACCCAGATGCTGGCAGAGCCTCTCTTGCCATCGCGCTTTTCAATGGGTACCACATCTCCGCACAGCAGTACACCTCGGGACTTGGTTGCCGGGTGATTCAGCTGCCTTGCGCTCGAGCCGTATCCGTCATCAGTCTGGGCCCTCCTCGGAGCCCTTGCTCGAGAAGGAGGCTTGCTGAGCAGCTGCGCTGTTACACCATTGCCCATTTCCATCGATTTCGGATTCACAGGCTTGACACGAGTCTTATCCGGCGAAGGTTGGGCCCTTACGGCAGCATCAGTGGTGGGGTCCCGCAGTTTCGACTCAACCCACTGTCTGCGGTCTTTCTGTACGACTTCGAGGATACTTAGCTTGCGGAGTTCCGCTTGTGTGACACCAAAGATGAGACACGAGATGTCATTCGCCGCCAAGATGGTCCATGGTTCATGCGACTCGGTCCTGAACACGGCTTGTGATGCGGGTGTCCACTTGCTGCTGTGGGTGTGTAGGACAGGAACCGGGAAACCATATCCTAGGCTTGAGGTACTGGTAGGAGATAAGGGGTCCGTGGCGGTGAAGGGTGCTAGAGTTTCCATCAGCTTGCCCTGGGCAGTAATAGAGCCAGCCTCGGTATAAGTACGTTTCTTTATGCTTACGCGCCTGGGGTACGGCCTCGAGTCTGTCCTCAGCGGGGACGCTAGATCTTCTGATGCCTGGCCCGAGGAACGCAGGGCATCGGGCGGTCCCTGCTCCTGGACCATGTCCCTAAAGTGGTTCGCGGAAAGCTGGGGTTCTGCAAATGCCCTTTCAAAGATATTGCCACTGTCCACATCAGCAGGTCCGGTCATAGGTCCGCGCGATAACCCAGCGTAGTTGTAGCGGTCATCCCTGCCCGAAACACTGGTTTTCGACAAGTAGTCCACCACGCTCTGGGTATCAGCATCTCCACCGAATCGAGCCTGAGCGCCAGCAAGCCCCGCACTGTTGCTGGTGGTCCAGCCGAAGCGATCGCGCATGAAGTCTATTGACCTTTTCAGTATGTTATGCCGATTATTCAGTAGTTCCTCGGATTGTTGGGCAAAGGAAAACGAATGTAGCGATTCGCACGGGAAGCGGTGGAGATCTTCTAATGTGCCGAATTCTTCGGTCGATGGGAGGCGTGAGGGGTGGGCTCTGGTCGAAGAAGCGGAGCGTGGTGAAGGTGAATGGCTACGTGAGGTCATCGGTGCGAGCGATGAGGCAGACATGTTCGGAAGGGTAAAGACGCGTGATGGCTGTTGACGTATGCGATCTAGACCAGATGGGCCAAGTCCATGTTCAGGATCCAGCAGAGAAGACCTGCAGAAGAGCGATAGAAAATTCCTTTTAGTTCCTGTCTGCGTGGTTTGCGCAAATGCATATACGATCCTACTGCAAGGAGAACCCCACCCATCGGCCACGTACCTGGAAAGATGATCATAGCCCGAGGAGAGTGTGTCTGCAGAGTATTTCATCGAGTCCTCAGTGTGCCCAGAGAGGCGTCTCATAAAAGGGTCCGACTCGGGCGACGCGGAAAGGGGTCCCACGGGGGACGACAATGGGCTTGGTTCACCTGTATGGCAGGAGGTCGTTAGCTTCTGTTCTGCCAGCATCCCTTTGCTCCCTCGCTAATTGTGATATCATCCGCTTCTCCTGCGCCCCTCCCGAATACACCCTTCAGCAATGTGGAATGAAGTGGCTGACTTGTTCCGAGATGCATATCCAAGTATGTGGGTAAACGGTCTGGATAAGTCGATTTGGATTCCCATAGGTTGGACAACCACTTCGGCGAAAGTTCGACACGGTCTTCGTTTCGCTCTCGCAGCTTTGCCTTCCCAGACCGAAGCGCCTTGGTCGCCATTTGCATAAACCCATCGAGTTCGTCCTGCTCGAAGCCAACAACTCTTCCCTGCTGGATTGGTGCGCTAGGAGAAGCAGCGGAAAGGGTGCTGATCAAAGAGAACGATCACAGAAATGGGAGACTAACCATCGGGATTATAGGAAGTAGAACCCATATTTTCCCAAGTAAATGAGAGCGTAGGGGCCAGCACCGACCAGACCGATTGACAACAAGCGGTTCAAATCGGCGCAACTCGTAATGAGTTGAAAACAAAGAGGGCTAGGAAAGAATGACGGCGAGATTTATTGCTACATGGGATAACAGGACATTGACCATCCACGGCGGTTTGTTTGGCGAGACCTGCAAGTTTGCTTGTCTGTCTGCCTCCCTTGGTTATCTTATAAGGAAAACGATTTTGTTGCTCCGCTCCGGGGTCTATTTTTCTTTCCTTTCCCTTTAGTTATTTTTTTTTTTTTTTTTTTTTCTCTTTCTTCACTTGCAGATCGGTGCGTTGGGATAAAATCACGAGTTACTGCGAGAGGGAGAAAGATTAACCAGGACCCTCCTGCTTGTCGGGATCTCAATGCACTGAATGAGACAAACGAGACTTGCAGTGAGTCGGTCAGTCCGTGGTCGACAGTGAAGGTGGAGGAGGGAGGTTAAAAAAGGCTGTCAGCGGACTGCGGGCGGGAAGATCGAGTGGGCAGCTGTTTCGTGAGGTCACAGGTACCATACAGTTGCGAAGGAGGCGTAGCACGCGGGGGGAGAGGAACAAGGTAGCTGGAGAAAGCCTAAATAGTAAGGGAGTTTCTTGTTGGTGGGAATTAGTCACAGGGAGGCCCAATGGCCTGCAGATGAAGCAGATGTTGCAGTGGCGGGTGGTAGAAGGGTAAGGAGGTAAGGTCGGCGCCGGGCCTTCGAACCGACAAAAAAGTGGCCAAAGACTGGCCAAGGAAGAGGGGGAAGTTGTAATGGCCTCTCCAGTACTGGGAGAGACCCGTGAGAGGAGGATCCGATCCTCTAGAGAAAGGAATGCGGTTGTAGGGGAAGGAAAGGGAAAAAATTTGGTAGAAGCGAGTAAGTTGGGGTGGGTAAATAGTGGAGACCGTAGTAGGGAAAGATGGAGGAAGATGTTAACTTGACGATGTTTCTTTCGCGGAGGGAGGAGGGGGGGAAGGAAATGAATGACGTTCTGGTTATCCCGCGGACGTAAGACTAGAAGAAGAACCAGCGGAAATGAGGTTTTAGATGATCCTTTCTCTTGCTCCCTTTTAGTAGTTTTGTCTAATGGACTGTCTAGTAAGTACCTAGGTTGGGTATTTGGGTCTTATTTGGCAGCTCCACGCACGAGGAGGGGAGCTGTCAGGGAAGAACAAAAGAAGTAATGATGGTAGTCAAACGGGACTATGCAAAGTCTGTCGAGAAGTTCAAGCTAGCGTTGAAAGTCAGCCAGCTTGCCAACCCGTCAATAATCTTTCTTTTTCTTTCTTTTAAATATGTAGTTCAAGGGTCAAAACAAAAATATCGGTGGTCCGACACGGTCGGGGAAGTCGAAGGGAAAGGGGAGGAGAGAGTAAAGCATGCAAGAAGGGCCTTCTTCCCCCCTCCCTCCTCAATACCCATCCTGGATCCATGCGAGCCATTGACAACAACCACAAACTATGGAGTCACTAATGCAGTCCATCAATCCCTTTCCAAAAAAAAATCGCCCCCATCGGAGATACTACTTGAGTTCCTAATTTCCTTGAGTCTAATACCTTCCGTCAACAAGATTACCTAGACTACTACTAACTACTACTACGGCTTCCAAGCCATTTCTTCCAATGGAACCACCCAACCCATATGGTGGTGATGTAATTCCCGACGGGCTACGGACGAAACCGATCAGTTAGTATACTTTCATATGGTTCGATCCATTCTGCTAACTTCGAAAACATGCTTCTGGACTACTTCGACGTATTGTTATTCTTCCGATCATTTCCTGTTCGAACGAATTTCCCCTCCCCCTCCTAGCCTAACTACTGTACTGCTCGTTACCTCCCCCGACAAAAAGTGGATGATTCAACTTTTTGCTCGCCATCTTGGCGGCCCAAAGTAACTCGATCAGCCAGCCCCCGTTGCGGTTGTAGATCGCCGCAAGCACCGAATGATGCATTTGACTTGATTGGGGCAAATCGCACAGGGAACTACCGACCTTCGACTTCCATTAGTGATTAGACAGAAGGCCCCGACGATCAATTGTACACGTCCGCACTAAGCTCACCGGCGGGTTCCAGACCAATTGGCGTTCGCCGTGGCTGCATAGTAAAGACACTGTTTGGAACCTTAGAACGTCTGCCAGTCACGCTGGCATGTGGAGGCCGCGTTGCTTCCATGGGAGATCCATGCGATCAAAGGGCCCCAGTACCGAAAATTTTCGTCGACAACTTACGCAAGTCAGGTTCCTGCTTAGGCACACGAATTCCTTGTTGCCTACAATAGTCGGGCTAGCTCCAGGTTCCCGTCCGGTCTGCTATTCCCACCTTATCCTCATTTCCTTCGTACAGTCATAATAGTCTCTTGCAGTGGTAAAATCCCTACCCGAGTTTCTAGAAAAAAATGAAAAAAGTTTGAGACGGACGCTATGATCGACCGGACCGGATAATACATTTGCGGCCTGTCAAGCCACTATGCAAAAGAAATAAGCAAAATCTGTAGTCCGATGCCGTCGCCTCAACAACGACGATGGGTATAACGGATCAACAAGAATGCCGGAGGCTGACTTCGAAGAAATATATGTTGAGTCGCACAGAAAGCGCATCCGAACTATTCACGAGCTTTGGGTCCCCGAAGACTCCGCAGCGCCAATCCGTCAGCCTCAGCGTCAGGCCTTCCATGCTCCTCGTCACCGTTGCCAAATAGAGTACTCGGTTTGGCTCGCATTTCTCCATGTCGGGTCTGTTCGGGCGGCACGGATGCCGGGCTAACGAAACTCGAAAACTGTCGCCCGCCCCCGAGCATCCACGAAAACTCTGAATCTGCCAGTGATGGACGTACGGCATGTCGAAGTGGCATGGATGAAGGAATCTGGCCATTGCTCGAAGCTCTACGAGTTTTCGTTTCGCATTCAACGGACGACCGTGATGACTTCGCAGACACACTAGGTTTGCGCGCCGCTGACGAGGCGTCACTTGCTTTGTCGAGCACAGTCTCAGCTTGCTCACTCGCGGGTTTAGAGGTGTCAGACAGCGATTCCTGGTCTCCCTCACCACTTTCGTTGGGACCCTGCTCCACGGTACCGGGAGGGATGGAAGAGTCTTCAAGACAGCTCTGGACTGACTGAACTTGGGTGAGCGCCTTCTTCAAGGCGTCTGCGGTCTTCTTATCGATGCCTTCTGCTCTCATCAAGTGGCTCCGGATGTCATTCAAGGCATTGCCGAGATTTTTGGCAAGTTTCCTGTTTCGTTCCTCCAGTTGTTCAACCTTCGTCTTCCATTGGACTGCAATGTCGGTGCCATGGTCCCACGGCATGCCTATAGTCGAGCTGGACGGTTCATGCCGTGCAGTTCGGGGGTAGTGCTCTGACTGAATAGATTGCATGTTTCTCTTAGCTTCACTCACCGCTCCCCGGACAGCCTTGGCTACACCCCACGCCTCTGTTCGACGCTGTATGCCCTCAGAAACGTCTTGGAAGAGCGTCTCCAGACTCTTGGGGCTGTTCCTTGCAGGTGACCTGGACGGGGAGCTGCTTTCGCTTAGATCTCTTGAGACGCTCCGCAGACGAAACTTCTTGCTGTTCATATGCTTTGGATTTGGTTGCGCAAGTCCTCTGGTGGGATCCGGCGGTCTTCCAGAATACTTGGAAATGATGAATACTCCTCGATCAGGAGTGGGGTTTTGCTCCAGGTATATCGCATCATGCACGAAGCTTAGAGGTTCGTGTGGTTGAGGGGAAGGATATCGAAGCAAAAGACCCAAAGCACTCGAGGAATCGGCGCGCAACACTAGATCAACTCAGCAACTTATAGCAAACAGTCTGCATAGCAAATGTAACTCACGTTGCCATCGAATTCGTAGCAGCATGGCGACACACACAAAGTCTATGAGTTCGGGTCGTAACCCTTCTGCAAAAAGGCGATCCCAAATGAGAAGAACATCTTGGAAAGCGAACTCTCGACCAAACAGTAGACGCATCCAACGCCTTTTGAAGATTTAGCATTGCAATCCGAGAGTTGCGTAGCGAGTTGTACTTACGTGAGGAATATCTGCGGTAAGATTTCAAGGGCTTGCAGATGATCCGCCAGCTCCAAATCCGCGGTTACCAACAAATCATTATGTATGCGGTGGCATTGATGAACGATCGGTATCACATCCGCCTGGCCATTATCTGACCGGTGTCTATTATGCTCATAATACACGCGAACATTCTGCATAACCGAGCAAAATAATGTAAAAGAATCGTGCTCCACATAATCGGCATGGAGAAGAGTATGCATCAGGTCATCATCAGCTTCTTTGGAGCTAGACTCTTGCAGTGACTTTGGCTCGATGGCGTCTCTATCAATGACCCAAAGGAGCGGAGCCAGAATCTCATGCATGCCTTGACGATAGCCCAAGTCGGGATTCAATTTTGAGTAGATGAACAAGATGTCGATCATTTTAGACTTGGTGGAGGGCTCGCGAAAGAAGAAGTTTTCCTGTAAACATCGGTCGACGTCCTGGGCGATATCCGCCCTCGACTGCTCGTCATCACGTAACGTTTGCCATGGTGACTTTACAAAGACCTCTCATCAGCTGATCAAGTCTTCCGCCAAAGACAGCGTAGCCAGAGATAACATACCGCTTCATCATCCGCCAGCGGATCAACTGTCGACTGCAAGTCGTCTGGGTGTTCGATGTATTTCAGGAAATGGGCTTTCAGGGCGACATAAACACTTCGCGAATCGGCGATCTTCTGCGGCCATTGCGCTCGGTCGAGATCATCGAAAAGCAGAAACGCCTACGCTCAGGTAAGCACGATGGCCAGATCATAATAGCCACAAGCGCATGCCTTCCAGCAAATAGACCTCAATCCATCCTCGCACAATTTATCTCCTTGTTCCGACCGAAGGGCAGTCCGAATATCGGCGGGGTGGTTGTTGTCGCGAAAGAAGGTATTCCATCGTTGCCTGGCCGATACGTTAGCTGCATCTGTGC